CAAAATGGTTGGTCCACTATATGGGAGTGTGCTGCTTGTGGGACTGAGTTTGTTTGTGGCTCCTTGGCTTTATAATAATAATAATGATGTCATCACAATGTCATAAATGTATGTTTCTATACAATGGCAAAATTAATCTCTACATTTAACCCATTCACCACCAGGTTGTGCAGTGGGCAGCTATTGAAAGTGCCCTGGGGGCATTTTGGGGGATGAGGTGTGCTGCCCAGAGACACCACGAGGTGTGCAGTGACTGGGGATCGAACCTGGGACTTTCGGATCCCAGGCCAGCTGCCCTGCCTCTACACCATCTTGGCCCCTTTATGAAGTCCTTTGGATGAAGGACGAAACATATCATCATCATCATCCTCATCATATTCATGATCATCTTCCTCATCCTCTACAACAAGAAACTGTCCAGATGACCTGACTAAACTTTGTTGGAAGATCCATTATTGTTTACTGCCAAAGGTGAGGCAGTGATAACATTTTGCCCACGTCTGTGTGTGCATTTGTCAACAGTATTAGCAAAATATTTTATAAGCCTTTAGACCAGTTTTATGGAAGCTCTCAGAAAGTAAACACTGGATGTACATCTACAACTGATTTGGAGCCCACATGATGCAAGATAGTTGCCACAAATAATGCAACTCATCCAACACAAAAATGGCAAGAACTCCATCTATTTTACTGATATTGAGCTAAATTTAGGTGGTGTAGTAGATGAGCATCATTCTCAACACCTCTGAGCACTAACACATCTCTTAAGAGCTCACAATATCATGTGTGATCCTGCATAGCCTCATTTACAAGGTTTGACCAAAACAGATACTGAATAACTGCATCACTTTTAAGCGCTGGATGATCTCAGGCTAAAACTCTGGCATGAAACTCAGCGGGTGAAATGCATCCCTTTAAGGAATGCTAGGCCTTTCATTTTAAATGTTTCTACATCTGTGTGGCAGAGAGCATCCTGCCCTCCTCCTTCATGGTGTGGTACAGAAGCTGCACCGTGGATGAGAAGGAGGTGCTGCAGAGGGTGACAAAGTCTGGCCACAAGACCGTAGGGTGCAGCTTATCATCCCCCAGGGATATTTACACCACCAGGTGCAGGACAAGAGCCACATGCATCATTTGTGACCCCAACCATCTTATACATGGCTGTTCACCCACCTGCCCTCTGAGAGGAGGCTGTGCTGCATCCAGGCAAAAGCCTCCAGACTGACAAATAGCTTCTACCTACGGTAGATGCAATCTGCCTGCTGAACTGCTTCTCACCCATTCACTGAACACTGCACTTTAACAACTGAATCTGTGATCTGCTGCTTCTGATGTCTGGCTGCTGCACTCTGCTTCTTTTTAACTTCTTATTTATCCACTATAGTTACTGCTAGATCAATCTATTTATCCTGGTCTTAAGGTATTTTTAATTAATTTAATTCCATTTTAATTGTGGTTAACTATTTATATGATACCCTTTTTATGCTATATCATCTTATGGTCAAGTTTGCATGCATTTTTATCTTTTTTATTTATAGTACACACCTAGTTCTGGGTAACAGTTTTATTTCTTACCATGTAAAGTTTGACAAACTGATTTTAAGTCAAATGTACTGTATAAATAAATTTGAAATTTACATTGTGTCAATAGAAAATATAATATATGTTTACTTTGAGGCGGTACAGTGTCTCAGTTGTTAGAGCTGTTGTTTCACAGTGAGAAGGTCAACGGCTCAAATTCCAGGCTGGGGGCATTACTGGGGGTTTCTATGGGTACTCCGGTTTCCTCTCACAGACCAAAAACATGCATTTTAGGCTAACTGGTAGCTCTAAATTGTCCCTAGTTGTGAGTGAGAGTGTGTATGGTTGTTTGTCTCTATGTGGGCCTTTGATGGACTGGAGATCTGTCCAGGGTGTCCTCCGCCTCTTGCACAGTCACTGCTGGACATGGGCACTAGTGACCTCCATGACCCGAAAAGGAAAAAGCCTGTTAAGATAATGGATGAATGGATGGATGAATGGATGGATGAATGGACTGATGAATAGATGTTCACTTAAATTATGTTGAATCTCTGAAAAAATTGAAATGAGGCGGTTCGGTGGAATTTACCAAAGCACTCTGTGAGAGTTATTGTTGCACTAAATGAGGAAGTCCAAAGGTGACAGGAGTGGACACGAGTGGGGCACTGAGACTGTGGGAGATGTGTTGTAGTAACAGAGGGGAGTTGAGGTGGAGGAGGGATTTGCATTGTAGCTCATCCCTGAGCCAACTGTTTGCAGTGGTGATGGAAGGACTGACTGATGAGTCCAGACAATAATTTCACTGGATTTTATATTCACAGACAATAATGTAGTGAGAAAAGAAATGAAGGTTAAAGAGGTGTAGAATCACCACCACAAGGACTGTGAAGTGCTACCTGAACCAGAAATCCTGGCTGAATGGTCCATACTCTGCTGAAAGACAGGGATACTGCCTTCAGGTGTGGTGACTCACAGGAACTGGGGAGGACAAGAAAAGAGCAAGCTACTGGTATAAGGAGAGCCAAAGCCACATATGCATGGAAGATCCAGGGGTATTTCACCTCACAAGACCCACGGAGCATGTGGAGGGGCATTAAGTGCATCACAGACTATAAAAGCAGGGGTGCACAATGCCCTAGGGACCCATCACTGCCTGATGCTCTTAATAGGTTCTATGCTTGCTTTGAGGACCCAAATAGACCACCCAGCACCAGATTCCCCTCATCACAAGAAGAGGATTTCCTCAGTGTGACCTCAGCAGAAGTAAGGAGTATTTTCAGGAGGATTAATCCTCACAAAACACCTGGCCCAGCCAACCAGCCAACATCCTGTGGAGGGTGCTGAAAGACTGTGTTGATCAGCTCTCCGAAGTGATGGTCAATATATTTAACTCCTCCCTCACGATGGCAACTCTTTCCACCTGCTTGAAGACCGCTACCATCATCCCAGCTTTCAAGAGCTCTGCAATGACTAGTCTGAATGACTACCGGCCATTAACCCTCACCCCAACAGTCGCTAAAAGCTTTGAAAGAATGTTCATGGCCCACATCAAAGCTACCGTCAACATCAGCGAGGAAGACCACACCACACCAGTATGCATACTGCAAGACTCAATCAACTGGGATGCAACTGGGTCCTGGATTTCTTAACAAACAGACTGCAGTCTGTGAGGATCCACAACTTCTCCTCCTCCACCATAACCCCCAGAAATTGGCTCCCATCAGGGCTATGTGTTGAGCCCCCTCTTGTTCACTCTGCTCACATATGGCTGTGCACCTACCCAACCAGGCTGTCATTTTGTAAAGTTTGCAGACAATACAGCAGTGGTGGAATGCATCACAAACAACGAGTCTGGCTATAGGCAGGAGGTGGAACACCTGGAGAGCTGGAGCAGGAAGGAAAACCTTCACATCAATGTGAAGAAGATGGTCATGGATTTCAGATGGAGCAAATGCCTCCCCCTCCCCGAACATAGGAGGATCTGCAGTGGAAGTGGTCTCCAGTTACAAATACTTGGGTGTGCACCTGAATGACAATCTCATGGCAACAACACTACCGGCCTGATCAAGAAAGCGACTCCAATTCCTCAGGCGGCTGAGGAGAGCTGGTATGGGAAGCTCAGTCCCTACCTCCTTCTACAGGTGTGCAGTGGAGAGCACCTTGTGATCCAGCATCAACGTGTGGCATGGAAGCTGCACAGCTTCAGAAGGGAAAGTTCTGCATAGAGTGGTGAAGGCTGCACAGAGACTGTTGGAGTCAGCCTCCCCACCTTCACAGACATCTACACAACCAGATGCAGGAAGAGGGCCACCTGCATCATGAAGGACCCCACTCACCCAGCACACACAATTTTTGCTCCACTCTCCTCAGGCAGAAAGTTGTGGAGCACTAAGTGTAGAACCATTAGACTGAGGAACAGCTTCTACCCTGAAGCTGTAAGTCTCATACATCTCTAACCAGGATAATCACTAAGAAAAAAATCACTGTAATAACACTTTAATTGGTGATACGTGACTTGTCTGTGCTGCTGATTATCTCATGCTGCTGTATTCATTCATACCTATCTGCTCACCACAGACTCATGCTTGGGCTGCTGTTCTCACACCGTATTGTTTTAAATTATTAGTGTTTAGCGTATATCTTGGATCTTTTAGCGTACCGTTTGGCGTTTGATTAGTGTATATCTTGGCATATATCTTAGAGCCTTATTTAGTGTTTCTTAGTATGCTTTATATTTTGCTGTTTTGAGGTGTAACTGAGACCTTGTGTATATAATTTCCTTCCACCTCATGTACCACATGTGGTGGAAATGACAATAAAATAGACTTGAACTTGAATACAATTGGAAGAGGGGCAAAATGTGCTGAAAAGGTTAGAGTTGTAAGACATTATGTTTGAGTTTTGTAGGAACTTCAGAGGAAAAGTGAAAAGGAGAGAGTAGGGAGAGTGGAGAAGAACGCCAATAACGATTTGTGAAGAAAATGTTCCAGGAGAAGGAAAAAAAGATTTACAAACCACTGGGGAGAGAGAGAGACTGTGAATTAAAGGATTAAAGACTGAAAGACTGCCACTGATGAAAAGACAGGGCAGCTGAATTAAAGATGCCAAGATTTGCATAGAGGGTGACAAGGATGAAGAGGATCAGGAATGACTCTTTATCGGGTTGAACAATTCTGGAACAAAGTAAAGTAGAAATAATTGGGTGGTTTGGACATGTGCAGTGAAGGAAAGAAGCTGGATAGATTGGGAAATGAGTGGTGAAAACAGAGCTGCTGGACAAGAGCAGAAGTGGATCGAACATGCAAGTGGTTGACAAATGAAGATGAACCAGAGAGGAAGAAACAGGAACAGATTATCTGCTGTATCCACCAAAAAGAGAGACAGCCGAAGTACTCCCAGTTGTTTCTTCTGAGACCATTCGATCTAATAAAGTGAGCATGTATTATATAAACTATCGCTATCAGAGACAAGGTTCTTACTCCATTTGGGTGTCCGTCTGAAGCTGTGACCACCAAGGTATAATAGTCCATAGTCTCCCTGTCCAGAGGATTGTCCAGAATTAAATACCCTGAACTGCAGAGAGAACACAAATAGTTCTGGTTAAAAATCTAGATATATTATAAAAAATAAAAGAAAAACATCACAGTAAAACAGTGAATATTAGTACACAGTATAAACTAATGAAAGCAGGAAAAAAATGTGTGAAAATGTTCAAAATACTGATTTTCCTAAAAGTCAGAAGTCATTAAAAGTGAGGTATGTTGACCACCATTAGGCTGATAACTGCAGACATTTGTCATATTTTCCTGTGCACTAAGTTCTATGTAGAAATGTCCTGATGCATGCTCAATAATCCAGGAAGATAAATCTAACAAGGTTAAGTTAGGTCCTTTGGATGTATTATTCACAATCTGAAGAATATGTCCAGTGGACCTGATTTAACCTTGTTAGAGTATGTGGAACTGTTTCAAATGTTTGCACAGAACAATACGTTCAAGTTCAAGAATCTTTATTATCAACCAAGGGGCAATTCGTTTCACAGTCAGACAAACAAAACATCCATACTAGACAAGACAATGAGACATTAAAATAACAGTACAGAAATCATCACTGTTCGTTGAGAAGCCTGATCGCTACAGGGATAAATGAGTTTGTCAGTCTTTGTTCTACATCTGGGATGTAGGTATCTACATCCAGATGGAAGCAACCTGAACTCACCATGGAGCGGGTGATCAGGATCTGCCAGAATCAGCCTGACCTTGTTCACTGACCTCACCTTGTGCAGGTCAGTGAGGTTCTGTAAAGCTATGCTATAAGAAAACTTGGAAAACAGTGGAAACTCGAACTGTTTAGTCCTCTTGATTTAGATAATTTTAAAACAAGTTTTAGTGAGGTTTCAAGTTTGGAAAAGTATTAAAAGAGGAGTTTTGTAACAAAAGGCTGTCCCTTGATGAGGTTTGAATAACTCTTTAAAAAAAATTTCCATGTACCATGTAGTTATTCAGTAAACTGCAATAATTTACTGGGTAACTACTATTATATTAAGTAGGTAATTACAAGGACACTACCTTATTTTTAACTATTTACCAGCAAAGTACTCAGTATTTTTTTACTTATTGCTTTGTAACTATTGGTGGCAAAAGGTTGGAAAGAAAGGTCTGCTGAAATACTAAAAGAACAAATAAAAAACAAAACAAAAAAATGCTTCAATATTTTATAACTCAGCCAATTATCACAAAAGTGTAACAAGTTGGTGTTTTAATTACTCCAATGTAACTAAGTACTTCCTTAATATAATTGACAGTAATCCATTTTTAACACCATTTTTATTTCATTAAGACTGCTTTACATTTCAGATATTCATCCACTACTGTGACCTGTATGGACAACCTCAAGTAAAACCTACTGTGCAAGTTGTGTGATAGCAGTGCTTTGATTTGCACTTTTACATTATTTAGCTGAATTTAAAATGGGATAAAGCTTCATGACATGTTGCACATGTTCAGTAAAAAAAAAATGTGCGTTGTCTTTATTGAGTTACAAAGTGCAATGCAAATAAATAAATAAAAAAAATACAAGGAAGGCAATGCAACCTTTTGGCGCATATTAGACAATTATTCAGCCTCACACACTACCTAAATAAATCTCCTGGAAGGTACAAATGAAAGCTAATGAATTTAATTTCCTGCCTTCCTCCCCCATCATAACAGGGCAGCCCAGTTATGCAGTCCTTCATTACTTGCACTTTTTTCTTTTCCCTCTACGATCTTCTCTAAACAAACTTTATTCCACCACCGGAAACGCATTTAACGAAAAACAAAATTAATAAGGATAAACACAACAAAAGCCCACAGAGTCTGTGTGTGTATGCTGGGGCGAGATGAAGTGTGTATGTGAAGTCTTTGGCAGAGTCCAAAGAGAATAATAAAACTGAGACTGCTTTTATACCCCCCTCCCCCCACACATACACACGCCAGGGTGTGCTACTACAAAGACACACAGCTTCAAACTATACATATAGTGTATGTCTATGTAATATCGGGAGGAAACAGGCTTCAGAAATAAACATAAAGAAAATGTCTTGGTTTTGATATCAACACCATACTTTGGTGCAAACACAATCCCACACAGCTTGTGCATTGATTTACTTACTTCTGTTGCAGTGCAAAATTTCCATTAATGTCTCCTCTCTGGATTTGATAAGTTATGGGGTCCCGCTCTCGATCCACTGCCTTAAAAGAAGAAAGGGAATCAATGACTCATGCATATATAAAGGCAGATTTAATAAGGCTCTGCACCTGTACTTGGTTTTTGTTTTGTTTTACAGTATGAGCAGCACTAAGATAGCACTTGAGAGGAGAAAGCGCAGCAATTCTTGCAAATTTCTAATATATTCTCAACTATGGTTCCTTGAGCACATTGTCCTGTATGCTATAGATGTGTATACCTGCTCCAGCACACCTGGATCAAAAGAATAAGACACATCAACAGCATGCCAAGTTCTGGAGACGCTTGGTAATGACCCAAAGTAAACCAGGTATGCAACATTTTTCGGTCAGGTCATCTGGACAGGTTCTTTTTATGTGCTGAAACATTTCGCCTTCGATCCGGAAGGCTTCATCAGTCAAGGGAACACACAACACAAAACTGATTATTCCCCTAACAGCTTACTCCAAAGTGGAACAAACCAGTTATGTTGGTGCTAAGATGGTCTCTGGTTTTCAACCAGTTTGACATGACTGTCAACAAGGAAGAGGTCTGGCAATAGAGGAGGAGGCGTGACAAAGAGACCGTCTTATCACCAACATAACTGGTTTGTTCCACTTTGGAGTAAGCTTTTGGGGGAAGAATCAGTTTTGTGTTGTGTGTTTCCTTGACTGTTGAAGCCTTCCGGATCGAAGGCAAAACGTTTCAGCACAAAAAAAGAAACTATCCTGATGACCTGACTGAAAAATGTTGGATTGTATACCTGGATTATTGAGCATGGACTTTGTTGTTTGCAACCAGATATGACTAAATAAGACAATCTAAAATGTCAATTCAAGTTAATTCAAAAATATGTTATTGATCCCAAAGGATCAATCAGAGCTGTAGATGCTGATGGTTGTGGGCAAGAATGATCTCTTGTAGTGGGCTGTCTTACAGCAAATCTGAACAAACTGGTTGCAGATGTTGATCCGTCTACTTGGACTTGGCATATTTGACGGCCTTCTTAAGACTGCCTGAAAGTTGGGCAGAACTCCTCCCTAAGTGATGGTCACTTGGGGAGATGATCCTGCAGCCATGTCTCAGTGAAACACATAACACTGCATTTCTGATGCTTTGGATGGATCCTTGTTAGGGCTTGGAGTTTATCCAATTTGTTTCCCAGCCTTAGTTTATGTAATATTTGAGCTTTTGAGATGTTCGTCAGCTGCTTCCAGTTGTAAAGAACACATTATTGTTATGGGTAATGTTCAGGCTGCTGTTTAATATATCACATTATTTTACATTATTAGTGTTTAGCATATATCTCAGATATTTTAGTGTATTGTTTAGCATTCGTTTAGCACATATCAGTGTATACCTTAGATCCATATATACCGTTTCTTTTTATACTTTTACATTTTTGCTATTTTGGGGTGTAACTGGGACCTTGAGCACACAATTTCGTTCCACCTCATGTACCACATGTGATGTGAATGATAATAAAGAACCTTGAACCTTGGGTACGTATCATAACAAATGTCCAAAAGTAAAAAGGTTTCAGCAAAAAAATCCTTCCAGCTGCACAGCATCCAATACCAGAGGAAATAATCATTAAAAAAAAGAGGAATTTCAGAAAAAAGAGGAATAAAGATAAAAGAGGAATACAGAGCTACTCCAACATGCAGCCACCTTGAGCAGCACAATTCCGGAATCTAGTTAATCTAATCTGAAAGTCTAAACACACATGGCTGTGTGACCTGAACACTAGCATTGGAGAACATTGAACACATGATCATATGGACATACAAGAAATTAGATTATTTTTGTATATGAATGAGGACCCCGCCCCCTCCCCCCACAAAAAGAGGCTTTTCTGTTTTAATAAATAGTGCAATGTTTATAATAATTTAAAAATATACTTAATTAAGATATAATGTTATTCGATTTGTGAAACATGGTAGTGTTAATATTTTTGAGGTTACTTTACTGGACATGTACGACAGAGTATTAGGGCCATGCTAAGAAAAAAAAATTACATTATGAGAAAAAAAGTCAAAATTACGAGAATAAAGTCATAGTATTACGAGAATAAAGTCATACGACAATAAAGTAATAATTTACGAGAATAAAATCGTACGACAATAAAGTCACAATTTACGAGAATAAAGTTATATGAGAATAAAGTCTAAATATTATGAGAATAAAGTCATAGTATTACGAGAATAAAGTCAAAATATTATGAGAATAAAGTTGTAACATTACCAGAATAAAGTCATTTTCAATTAGAAAAACAGTTACGTTGGAGACACCATGCTCGCCCAAGTTCAACTCTCACTGGATCCAAAATCTTGATGACCATCCTCCTTCTCTGCTGAGAAACAACCAAACCTCTTTGAATGGCTCACATATGTAACCAAGCCTTGCAGTCGACCACTGCCAGAAAGCTCCTCTTCCACAAAAGAAGCAATATCTTCCAAATCTGTGTGGTTCTTTCTTCGAAACAGACAGTCATTTGCACAGTTTCCTGATACTGATAATAACCTGATGCTGATGTACTAACATATTAAGTATTTCTTTATTTGTAAAATTAATATCTTAACAAGATGCTCAACATTCATTATTTGACCGTAGTTTAAGACTGCTTTTTCATGTCAGACTTCTGGTAATATTTCAACTTTATTCTTGTAAAATTACAACTTTATTCTCGTAATACTATGACTTTATTCTCATAGTCTTGTGAATTTTTTCTCATAAAGTCTTTTTTTTTTGCGTGGCCCTAATACTCTGTCGTAGACATGGCATATTACAAGAACACACACACACACACAAAAGTCTGAACATCTAAGAAAAAGTTGGATAACGCCTAAAGATACTGAACCCAAGCAAACAGTTCCATATCGATCAGATAATAAATAAATAAATAAACTGGCCAAGACAAGTACTTGTAAAACTCTAAATTTTCTTTCCATTTGTGTTTATTCTTTGACAGCTGTAATTCCACACTGGTATTTTTTAATCTCTAAGGACTATTTAAAACAGCTGTCAGACAAATATAAGGCATTTTATTAACATAACTTTTAAAATAATCAATACAATGAATAAACTCTTAACTGAACGACTGAAGACAAACAACAAATATTTGAAACATTTTAGCATTTTATTAATGTTCGTGTGTGTGTGCATGTGTGTGCATGTTTCTACCTGCAGATTGAGCAGTGTGGCCCCAGCCCTCATAGCTTCACTGATCTCAAGGTTGTATTGTTGCTGCGGGAAGCGGGGAGGACTTTGATTGTTTGGGGGCAAAACTTCAATATAGACTGTTGTAATGGATGACCTGGAGAGAGACGGAGAGGGCGTAAAGACAAAAGAGAATAAAATGAAGCAAGTGGGATAGACACCAGGACCACGTCCACAGACAGAGACACTGTCGGAAACTGAGAATCTGGTAAATTCACATCGGCAGCAGAGGAACGTTCAACTGAAATGGGAGGAAAGAAAAAAAATAGAAGGGCTGTATAAAAAAACAAGGGTGGAGAAGGGAAAATATCAAGTGGAGTGAATGGTTCATGGTTTAAGATGAGGACTGCATAGTGTTTGTTTCCTTGCTCTTCATGCTGTGTTTAACTAATCAATAAGAGCCCAGAGTAAACAGCAGTGGAAGTGCTAAAGAAACAGGCTGGATAGTGCTTTTACTGCAGGGCTGTACAAAAGTCTTTTTTTTTTTTTTGCAGAGTTTAAGAATTCCATTTTGCCTTCTGACCACTGTATTCAGCTGTTTCAGTGATTCAGTCATGCACAGGGTGCTGACCTTTTAGTGAAAGAACATTTTGGTGAAACCCAGCTGGGTGTAAAGAAGTATAAGCAGTTTGCCCTTTAGGATTTTTTTTTTTTTTTAAAGCTAGTTAACTGTTGTTTCAGCCTCCTACATCTAGAATGGTGCAGCAAATTTACAATACAGCTACAATTAACAAAGGTTTTATAATGCAAGTTAAGGGTTATGTAAAACCCAATTATTTATTGTTTTTTAAAGCAACAGTGGTCTGAATTCAAAAAATTCATATCGGCATGTTAAAGTTGAGCAAAAAAGCATAAATTATATAAATTATTTGAACAGCTAGTTTGAATATCAACAACAAACTGGCTGATCCACTGTGAGAATGTGCTCTTTATAAGATTAATACAGTTCCTCAGACTGATGAAGCCTTTTGGATTAAAGACGAAACATTTCAATAAGTTTTTTTTTTTTTTATCCGTCTAGAGGACCTGACTTAACCTTATTAGGTTTTTCTACCTGGATTATTGAGCATGCATCAGGACATAAATTATATGATTTATCAATAACATTTTGCCAATGAGTAACAAGTGTTTTTGTGCCATCTCTGAAAGCTATTGTAAAAGCAAAATAAAGCTAAGGAGACTAAATTTTTTGTTTAGCTCGTTTAGCGTTCGTTTAGCGTACAAAGTATATCAGTGTATATCTTAGATCCGTATATGCTGTTTCTTTTTTACACTTTATATTTTTGCTATTGTTTGATGTAACTGGGACCTTGAGTACACAATTTCGTTCCACCTCATGTACCACACGTGATGAGAATGACAAAGAACCTTGACCTTACAAAACATAATAGTAAAGACCTTAAAGTTACAGAATAAACATGCAGATTTGTCGTTGCATGTCATTCAGTTCATTCTGGAGATGGGCAGATGTAGTAGTTGTAATGTAGTATGTAATGTAGTTTTTTTTTTTAAACAATTTGTACATTAAAATATTTGACCCTGTTTATAAATATTTTCTTCATAGAGATACATGGAGAAATGTTTAGTTCCTTCAAAAACAATCTTTGAAATCAGCTTCAGTTTGTTCTGACTGTGTCTGCTTATACTACTTTTAACCCTGTGCTATTTTTAGCATGCACATAGATTTTTGCTACTTTTACATAGCGTTTTGATACTTTTAGCTTATAGGCAGTATTGTGCTTCTTTAGCTATCTTTTATTTGTTGCACATTTGGCCTTTAGTTAGCCCTTTGCTTCTTTTAGCTCTCAACCAGTGTATTTAAGCTAGCATTTTGCAACTTTCGGCTTTTAGCTAGCAATAACATTTTTTAACTTTTAGCTAGTGTTTTGCTTTTTATTAGCTTTAATAACACAATTTCCACTTCAACAAATTTCTGCCAAATAATTCAACACTTAGCATTCACAGTGCATTTTCACAGCTTCTCTAATCACTTCGGTCATTGAAGTTAATATTTAACTATAAAGGCTGATCAGCGATGAATGCATGCTGCGATGCTGGCTCCCTTTTCTTTTACATAATTGTTTGGGGCCAAGCAACTCTGCTTTAAAAACTGTTGTGAGAGGAATGAAATAAAGACATGGTAAAACACAGAAAAATTATATATTCAGCCTCGATCAATATAAAGTGGTCACTTAAAGTCATGAATGCTTCAACTACAAATATTTGCCTCTATGCCTGTCACTTTGTGAGTAAGAAGTCAAAACACTTGGGAATACGGACCTATTGCTTATCCTATGCTGCTATAACCTTAGACTACAGAAGGACAAATTTACCTCATTTCATCAAATGAACAGTTACCAATACAAACAAATAAATAGATTGTATTTGTAATTATTCTTTCTTATAGTGATTTCTGTCTTTTAGTCTCTCCTACTAGGGAAAATCTGATGGCCTCCATCCTGGACCTGTCATTCTGTGTCCGTTTCTCCTTCTTGTCTCTCAAACTCAGCTGGTCAAAGCAGATGGCTTTTTGTCCTGAACCTGGCTCTGCTGGAAGTTTTTTTTCCTCATGAGGGAGTTTTTCCTTTTCACAGTTGCCTCTGTGCTTGCTTAGGATGGGAGACTGTGATGAAGTGAAGACTCAAAGCAATCTTCTGGCTCCTTAGAGAAATAACGATATAAATTGACTTTATATGTATTTCCTAATGCCCATTACATGTTTATCAATTGTGTGACTTCTACATATGTATAGGTATTGTCTCCTATCACTCCTATGTCTTCCTTTCCTCTTATCTTAACTATGATGGAAGTATAAATAAAACAGCAGAGGATAAACTGTTGTACATATTGTGGAGTGCATCTGTCCTAAATATGTTCCATTCCTTCTTATCTAAATAAAAATGTGTTTTTCTGTTCTTCAAGACCCGAAACCAGCTCATGATGTAAGTTAAAAAGAGAAAATACTTTAAAAAAAGTAGTTTGAGTTTTGTTGATGTCCAACAAGAAGAGGACACAGTTCGTTCTGAGTCCTGACCTATAGCGTCAACAAAACCGCCAGCAGAGGAAGATATTGATTTATCATGCTGGTTATGTTTTCTTTGGGGATAAACGGGGGTTCTGGGGAAATCTGGAGACAATCTGTGAGCAAATCGCTGGAACCACCTCAATCTGCAGTGGTTCACATTCTATTGATTTTGCAGCTTCAATACTGGAACCAAGTGGCAGAAGACAAAGGATTCTGTTTTCATCATGACTGATGGATGCTGTTGGAGAGAATGATCCATTTACATTTGTTTCCCTTGTGTCAACTACATGAATGCATTTTGAAAGATGCACCCATCCTATGATTTTATGGAATTTGCACAGAATGAATTATCTGTTTATTTATTAACCTTTATTTAACCAGGCAAATCACATTGAGATCACAGATATCTTTTGCAAGGGAGGCCTGAAGGCAGCCTAACATGCATGTTTTTAATCTGTGGGAGGAAACCGGAGTACCCGGAGAAAACCCACGCAAGCACGAGAAGAACATGCATACTCCACACAGAAAGACCCCAGATCCAACCAAGGATTGAACCCAGGACCTTCTTGCTGTGAGGCAACAGTGCTAACCACTGAGCCGCCGTGATGCCACTGTTTGACTTAACTGGATCTCTTGAGAAGACAAAGTGCACAAGAAACAACTTGCTGAATGAAAATAATTAACAAAATATAATATTTCTAAGCCTGTTCAGCATAATCTTTTAGGGCTGATTTGAATGATAATGGTGATTATTTTTTATTATTTTTATGATTATTAACAACAAAAAAGAGGTTGTGTTTGTTAAGTTGAATAAAAAAATACTAGCAAAATGACTTATAATATTAAACCCAACAAAAAATACTCACTACTTCGAGGTTCATTTTTCACGGACAAGCTATATTGTGGTTTTTCAAAATAAGATTGGACATGACACACAATGGGCAGCAGGGTGGCACAACTGGTAGAGCTGCTGCCTCTCAGCGAGCAGGTCCTTGGTTCAAACCCCGGTCCAGGGGCCTTTCTGGGTGGAGTTTGCATGTTCTCTCCGTGCATGCGTGGGTTTTCTCCGGGTGCTCCGGTTTCCTCCCACAGTCCAAAAACCACGCATGTTAGGCTGATTGGTAACTCTAAATTGTCCCTAGGTGTGAGTGAAAGAATGAATGGTTGTTTGTCTCGTTTGTCTCTATGTGGCCCTGTGATGGACTTGCGACCCGTCCAGGGTGTACCCCGCCCCTCGCACAGTGATTGCTGGACATGGGCACCAGCGACCCCCGTGACCCAAAATGGACTAAGCAGGTAAAGATAATGGATGGATGACACACAATTGGCTTATTGATGGATGAGTCGCACGATAGGCATGGCATTTTTATTTAAAATAAATTTTAAAATATTTAGCACCTGCTGCACCTGTGTGCGGCCCACAGCTGCAGGAGAAGCTTCCTCCTGCAGCGTGTCATATCTCCGCTCTGCAGCAGAGAAGTGGGCGTGGCCGAGAGCACTGGCAGATGGCAGAGAGCTGAAGTCATGACATGCTGTGCTCTTTTAAAGTGTTTAGAGTTTAGAAACATTGTTTAGAATATGGCAAGAGTGTGGGAAGAGTTTAAAACACATTTATATATCTATATCTATATATATCTATATCTATAGCTCTCTCTCTCTCTATATATATATATATATATATATATATGGCTTCAAAACCTGGCCAAAGTGTTCCTGAGTGAAGTTTTTCATGTTAGCTGTGCTTTTTCTCTGCCTTTTTAGGGCTTGATGGAAACACCATAAAAAGTGAAGCAAAGTTAATTCTGCACACCTCAAAAAGTATCAGAGATACAAACTCAAATCCCCAAACGTTGGGACTGTGTGTAAAATATAAATACAGTAAAACTGAAATTGAATTATTTGTAAATCACCAAAACCCATTTTTAATTCACAATGGATTATAGTAAACATATCAATTTTTTAAAATATATGTGTGTACCATTATTTATTTAAAACTTTTTTTGTTTGTTTTTAAATAATGTAATAATGAATTTGATTGAAGCAACAAGTCCCAAAAACATTGGGACAGGGCAACAAAAGACTGAACATTTGTTCGTTTTTGTTGTTGTTTTGTTTAATAGAATGATTGCAGGCATCTCTATTTTCTCACAAATTTTGAGTTGCCAACTGGTCTCCAAAATTTGCAGCCCAGTGGGATACCACCATAAACTTTAAGCCAGGGGTTCTCAAAAACTTTTTGGGTTCAGAGACCCCTTACAGGGGAGAAAAACTTTCAGGGACTCCCTCATAACCCTCATGTTTATTAAATAATATTCTTCGATTTGTCTTTTTAATGCAATGGAAATATTTATGTAACAAAAATACTTAAGATCCTTTCTTTAATAGTGTTAATACAATTTTTATACTTTTAAACATGGGGTATTTTTCATTCTGGGGGTCCTCCTGCAGAAACAAACTGAAAGCTACATCAAAGTTGTTTTTTTTCCAAATGCGTTTTATAGTTTAAAGAAAATCTTGATTAATTGTTCATCTGTGTGTTTTACTGATTGCTGCTTTTGTTCTGTGCTTCTTATTGCAGCGACTCGACTTGTTTGTTCCTTCTCAAGGACACTGCAGTGTTAATTTATCCTTTTGGTGCGTTATTCCCAAATGCAAAACACAAAGAACTACACCAAAGTGTGCTTCGAGCATCAAAAAACATTCTGCTGATAAGTTCACAAATTAAACGGAAAATTTCCTTTCCACGTTCCAAAAGGTTTCTGCAGTCTTTTGTTTTGAATGATGCAATACCTTTTAAGATTTTTAGTTTGCTTAATGTTTTTTATGGCGATACACAAAATGAAAACTTGAAGAATGAGGAAATCCAAAGAGTTACATAAAAAGGTTTTGCAGTTGTAGACAGCACATGCTGCACTAGAGGCCCTGCTCTGTAATTTTTCACGAGTCAAGACATTGCGCAGCTCAAAACACTCGTGAAATCGAACCCTCTGTCAGCTCAGCTGCTACATCTATTTGTGGTTCGGTGTGGGTGGACTGAGTTCCACTGGGTGAGACGTTCGATGGCTGGATTTACTTCTGTTCTGAAAAAATAGTTTTGTAATTGCTAAATCTGAAATTTTGCAATTTTACTGCGCTCAGCCATTTGCCGACCAAATCAATACACAAGAGTTGACAGAACATTAGGAGCAGCCTATACTGTCTTGCAATTGGGAGGAGAAAAGAGTTGTGGAAATGGCTGGGAGTTGACAACAGTTACAGGTCCTTATTGATTTAATCCTTGAAGAAGAAATGAAGGGCAGAAGTCTGAGGAAGGAACAAAAATCAACACCTTATCAAGTCGGTGTGTGCTGCATTTTATCTTTTATGTTCTGAGGCATTTGCTTAGACATCACATTTTCCTGCATTATCCGTAAATACCATACATAATATTTAAGGCAGCCTTTTATTTCCTTTCACTCTTCCTACTTTTTTAAGTCTCACGCCTGACCTACTCATTTTCCTCACTTCTATACAATTTTCTCTTTATAATTATAATTCATGGTATATAAAAGAAAAATATTCCCCTGAAGATGGTGAATAGATGCAGAGAGTGGCAGGGAGGGAGTAATAAAGGACGAACGGTGGGCACTTCTGAGGGGGGTCGTTCAATGAGTGTGAAAGCTGTGGAAATTTGACGACCTTTCACGCCTCAGCTCGACACAGACAGAGAAATGAGCGGTGAAGCAGACGGAGAGAAAGACGTACCTTCTGTGGGGTAAAGGCCCGTTGTCTGTGGCTTCAACGGTCAAAGCGTAGTGTCGTCCAACGGTGAGCTCGACTCCTGGGGCCACTGTGATTATCCCAGTGCTGTGAAAAAAAGTAAATTAAACACACGATTATCAGCACACACACCATGCTTCCAATTTAATTTTTAGGTTTATCTATGCAGTCCACCATTGGGCTTTTTACTGAGCACTGCCAAAGGTGATAAAGATTGTTGCGTATCTTTCTACATGTGCGTGTTTGTGTGCCTGTTAGCAAAATATTCAATTCAAATTCAAAAATACTTCATTAATCTCAAAGGGAAATTAAATGTTGTTGTAACTCGTTATCCTCGTATCGTTGAGATGTTATAGATGATGATGGCTGTAGGCAGGAAGGATCGCTTGTAAAGGTTCGTCCACAGCAGATCAGAAGAAAATGGCCGCAGATGCTGTCCGAACCATCCAACCAGACTCGGCTTGCCTCGCAATACCTCCAGGCAGCAGGACCACTTGAATGCCGGGCAGAACTCCTCCCAGAGCGATGGCCACTCCTCCCAGCAGCCTGTTGAGCTTCTTATCACTGTGGAAGGCCGGTTGCAGGGGTTTGGGGACAATCATGGTCCTTCTGCTGTCATGAGCCACGTTTCCTGCTAGTTCCAGGATCTCAGTGGTCAGGCACTCGAGCACAGCCGGCAAGGAGACGGGAATGCATCTACGGCACCTTCTTTTCAATACATTTGAGATTTGGGACTGTAGCTGAGATATTATTTGAGCTTTGAAATGTTAATCAGCTGCTCCTGCTTGTAAAAAACAACAACAACAAAAAAAACACCTTCTTGTTATGGTTATGCATCATAACAAATGTCCCAAACTAAAAAAGTTTCAGTAAAAATCCTTCTAGTTGCACAGCATCTAATACTAGAGGAAACAATCATCCAAAAAATGTGATTTACATCCAGCCAAAAAGGAATTAAATTTTCCAAAAGCAAAATCTCAGAATGAATGTAACAGAGCTACTCCAACATGCAGCCACCTCGAGCGGTGCAGTTTTACAATATTTCATCTAGAACAGCTCAAGAAGCCCTGGACAGAGTTCAATGAATGTTCCAGAAAATCTTTGGATGGACATTTTTAACTGAATAACTTTTCAAACCAGCCCAAAATTCAAATGGCCACCACAGATAGCTGAAGGTAGAAAACTGCTGAATGGATATAACGTAGTCATTCAATTTGGCACATTGTGCTAAATGAGTGAGGTGGTAGCTGAGAGTCATTCACAACTCTTTAAGTGCTACTAATAGTGTGAGGTCTTGGTTTAAAAAAATTACATTAACTGTTGGGAGTCAACCCTACATTATTCTCAAGATTTGACCAAAGCTGCTGTGACTTCACCCTTTTTCAAGATATGATCTTGGAATATTACTCTCACTGGAAAAGCAGTGGGGAGGGAATAGGCACACCTCGAAGGAATGATAGACTTTTAATTTATGTGTTATTAACAATCTGTCAAGTTTTAATTACTTGAAAATAATATATGGATATCTAAACAAATTCCATATACAGTAGTCCCTCGCTACTTCTTGGTTTGTTTGTCGCAAACTCGCACTATCGCAGTTTTTCAAAATAAGATTGGACATGACACACAATTGCCTGATTGATGGATAAGCTGCACGATCAGCATGGAATGTTTATTTAAAATGAATTATTTAAAATTATTGAGCACATGATGCACCTGTGTGCAGCCCACTGTTGCAGGAGAAGCTTCCTCCTGCAGCGTGTCATATCTCTGAAGTGGAGAAGTGGGCATGGCCGAGAGCACTGGCAGAGAGCTGAGATCATGACATGTGCTCTTTTAGAGTGTTTAAAGTTTAGAAACATTGTATAGAATATATATATATATATATATATCTCTCTCTCTCTCTCTCTCTCTCTCTCTCTCTCT